GACCTTCTAGCCCAACCAAAAAATAAGAAACAAGCTCACTAAAAAAATTAACTTAGCCCAACCCACTTTCCTTTTCTTTCTTTTCTTTCCTTTCTTTTCTTTCTTTTCTTTCTCCTTCTCCCCGTTTCCTCTTCTTCTTGTTCGGCCAGCTGAAGAAAACTTCAGCTGGTGGCCATGGAGGCCGCCGGTGGAGCCGCCGCCGCCGACCGCCACCGTCGGTGACCTCTCCGGTCACCAAAAATCCTCAAAATACACCCCCTCACTCGATTTTTCGCGCAGACTCCATTTTTGGACTTAGTTTTTACAGAAAATGACCCAAAAGTGGCCAAAATGCCAAGAAATCAGTTCAGTTTTTATTTTTTAAAACCCTCACATCTTCACCAAAAATCATAAAAATTATGCCAAAACCCTCCTTATGACTTCTACAATACAACTATGATCTCAATTTGACAAGAAAACAACATAAAAAGGCTAGAATAAAGCAAAACAGCCCCTAAAATTTGTTTTTTCCATTTTGGCATTTTCACAAGCACTTGACATGCATTCATGGGCCCATTTCGTTTTCCTTAATTCTAGTTATGCCATTCCCAAATTCAGCAACCCAACAACATAATGACAACATAAACCAGCAAGAAAAGAAACAAAGCTAACGTCTACACATGATTATAGTATAACGAATTAGAAAATAAAAAGCTGGAAAAAGAAGAGAAAATGAAAGGAGATACCTCAATGAATATGAAAATCTTTCGGTTGAAGTTTGATGAAATTTCCAAGCCTTGACCGATAGCTGCCCTTTCTTTTTTTGTGTTTTGATTTTGTGGGAAAAAATGTGTAGAGGGAGCCCTTTTTGTTGTTCCTCTTGTCTTCTTTCTTCTGCCCAAATTCGAGAGAGGAAGAGAGTAAGGAGTGGAAAGTGCTTCTTTTTTTTCTTTGTCTCTAACTTCCAAGAGAGAGCCGAGAGAGTGAGGAAGATTGAGGAGTTAGTTTTTTTTTTTCTTTCTTTCCTTGTCTGATTTTTCTTCTGTGTGTATCGAGAGAGTGAATTGAGGGAGTAGTTTTTTGAGCCCCAAAAGTGCCGTTCCTTTTTTTTGTCAGTCCCCGAGATTCAGGAAGGAACCAAGGGATTTTTGTCAAATGGGTTTTGGTTTGTTCTTTCTTTTTTTTTTTTTAAGATAAACCTACAAAAAAGAGACAAAATATACTTAAAATACAAGAAAACAAATGATTCATCAAATAGAAAATATTCAATAAAACATAAAATTTGACAAAAATTTGGCAAAAATTTGGTGTCTACAGCTTGCCCCTCTTTGTCTAGAGTTTCAAAGAAACTCAAGACAAAGACGTAGGCACCAAATTGCTTACCTGTCTCTTCTACTGCATCTGAGCTAAAATAAACAAGCCAACACTTGGCTGAAATTATTGGACAAAGTGATGCAATAACATTGTAGAAAATGTGACCGAACTCATGTAGAGTTGCCTACGTATCCCACTAAGGGAATCAGATCAAACGTAGTTCGAATGCAAGTGAACCACAATGAAACAAGTGCATTGACCAACTGTGGTCTTTGCAAAGTTGAAAAAGTCTGAACTCTCAGAACTTCTAAACATGAAACACAAAATGAATGAGAAAGCACAATTATTAGTCAAAACAGTTAAGAAAAGTAACTTGTCATAACTAGAAAAAGATGCGCGGAGGGACGTGGTTACGCTCCAACAGAAAATTAAATTTGTCTTTTAGAAAAAGATGCGCGGAGGGACGCGATTACGCTCCAACAGGAAATTAAATTGTCAAGAAGGGGAGATAGAAGGGTGCGCGGTGGACGCTGAGACTCACCAACAGGAATTTAAATTTGTCAAGAAGGGGGATAGAAGGGTGCGCGGTGGACGCTGAGACTCACCAACAGGAAATTAAATTGATGCGCGGAGGGACGCGATTATGCTCCAACAGAAAATTAAATTTGTCAAGAATGGGAGGTAGAAGGGTGCGCGGTGGACGCTGAGACTCACCAACAGGAAATTAAATTGATGCGCGGAGGGACGCGATTACGCTCCAACAGAAAATTAATGCGCGGAGGGACGCGATTACGCTCCAACAGGAATTTAAATTTGTCAAGAATGGGAGATAGAAGGGTGCGCGGTGGACGCTGAGACTCACCAACAGGAAATTAAATTGATGCACGGATGGACGCGATTACGCTCCAACAGAAAATTAAATTTGTCAAGAATGGGAGGTAGAAGGGTGCGCGGTGGATGCTGAGACTCACCAACAGGAAATTAAATTTGTCAAGAAGGGGGATAGAAGGGTGCGCGGTGGACGCTGAGACTCACCAACAGGAAATTAAATTGGTGCGCGGTGGACGCGATTACGCTCCAACAGAAAATTAAATTTGTCAAGAATGGGAGGTAGAAGGGTGCGCGGTGGACGCTGAGACTCACCAACAGGAAATTAAATTGTCAAGAAATAACAGATTGGTGGGATAAAACCCGAATCCAATAAAATAAAACGGTCAGTGGGATAACACCCAAACCTGCCGAATCCCAACATGATATACAAAAGACACGTTAGTGGGTTGAATCCGATGCTAACGGATGTGAAAAAAATATATATATATATAACACACGTTAGTGAGTCAATACTCGATGCTAACGGTGATAAAAGACATGACACACGTTATTGCATGAAAAAGTTCTTGAATACTTACCTGAAAAATCATTTCAGAAATTGACTCAATTTGAATCAATTTTGTTCAACCAATCATCTGCTTTGCATTTTGACATTGTGGCTCAAGTTGGTGGATTTGTAATCTTTTTTTGTTTTTTTTTGAATGTGAATTTTCAATGATCAAATGATTGAATGTTACTTGTGCATGAATGTAAACCATGTGTGCTTTATCGCATTAGCTGAATTGGGATGTTACTTTGTCGCTAGCCTATTCAAGCGGACTCGGTCGGATAGGTTGGTGACCCTGGGTCACTATTTTGATATACTCGAGTATGACCACGAAATCAGTTGGAGTACTGGTCAGTGAATGAAATGCAATGAATGAAATGATCACTGTTGGAGCTTTTATTTTCAAATATTTTCAAATGTCGGGGGTATAAGGAAGAGACTGAATGACTGAATGGATGAATGGCTTCAAGTGAGCACGTATCCTTCTACTGAATGTGTTATTGTTACTTGAATGCTCTAAATGTTTTCCTTGATTGGTTATTGTTAAAGGTAATATGTCCGTGATTTAACTACTTCAATGATTGTTTGGGAACCTCACTGGTCTTTTAGCTTGTTCATTTAGTTTGTTTTCCTTACAGGAGTGAAGGTCCGGAGCAAATAAGCGTGAACTAGTGTGTATAACCCTCTTGTACTTGTACATTGGATACATAGAACGTATTTTAGATATTTGATGTCGTATCTTACATTCACTTTTGGTTTGTAATTAACCTTGAATTATTGGTTGAATTGTAGAACTCTAGTGCTTATATGGAGGTTTGAACGGTTATTTTGAAAATTAATTGTAGTGGATGTAATGAGTCCTGGCAAGAGTTGGGCAGACGGTTCGCCAAACTCTTGGATACGCGCTAGGGGCAGGTGGGATCGTCACAGATCCAAGTACTTGTGAGCAGCTCAGTCTCGCAATCAAACTCTGATACCACTTGTTAGGATCCAACCACGGAATAAACAACTATTGAGATATTAAGTCACAACAATTTAATGACAAACAAGTCACAAGCATGAAAGATAAACGACACACAATATTTAATGTGGTTTGACTCCACCATTGAGTCTATGTCCACGGAGAGAAACCCATTCTTTATTATGAGAGAAAAGCCCTATATAAGAATATAATTTGAATCCAAATCCAACCCTTGTTTACCATCTCTCATCTCCCAAGAATCCTCTCTCACCACCCAATGTATAAGGCTACATGTCGCCCTTGTATGCTCTTGTGTTCCCTTGTGTAGTATGCCAGCCCACCTATTTATAAAGAACATTATTTGGTTAAAACATAAATAATAATAGGAAACCAGTACTAATTCCTAGACTTGTACAGAATAGGAAATAACTTCTAATTCTAAACAAAATAGGAAATTTCTTGCCTACTACTTCAAGTAACTAAAACCAATTAGGAAACTAATTACTTCTACACAAATAAAAAACTTGCATAAAAGAAATTAAGCCAATTTCTTAACAGACCTTTCTGTAGGATCATTGTTATATATACTACTCTTTTCCATAGTAAAAACTGCACAAACTCGCATAGTTTACTTGCATCCTCTTCGGTTTTTTCTCTTCTTCGACAAGCCCTCCAGAAATATATGGAGATGAAGGAAGATTTGAGTGGTGATGGAAAAGTTTACGCAGCATGTGCATGTACTATAGTGACATGGTACAAGACCTCTAACTTCTTGAATGTAAATTGGGCTAGAGTGCCCCATAGGAGTCGGGACAACTTTTTTTTTTTTTTTTCTTTTGAGGTTTTCTAGTGAAATCGTGTGACTTTTCCCAGGTATTAAAGCAAAACTTTGCAAAAGTTTTTGTTGTTGTACGCTTTCTAAAAGTTTTAAAATGTGATGTAATGAGCATTGGAACGCTTTGGTTAATTGCTATGTAATGAGTCTAAAAGGCCCTCCAAATGGCCTTTTTTTTGGGTTTTTTGACATTCCAGTCTATCAGAAGTTGCCCAGCAAAACTGTAGAAAAATATTCTTGAAATTAAGACTTGGGTCACTAATAACAAAAGTTTCTATAGGAGGAGGGTGTTGAGTTGGGTGGTACGGTAGGAGGGATTTTATATACGAAGTCTTGGATTCAAAATTTTTCACTTACAAGAGAGAGAGAGAGAAAAAGTTCCTATTAGGCATTCTCAAATTGAGACTCGTAATCAGTGACCGTTGCTTCAAAACACTACTCATATCTGCTGAACTCTACCAAACGAACAGTTGAGCAAATTCCCAGGAAATTTTAAGTTCACTTTACTTTGAACTCCATGTCGATTGCAATAAGTGAGTTTTAGCCAACAGAAATAATGTTTGAGAATAAAATGACAATGAACTGTATGTATAAATAAACATAGAGCATTTGACATGTTCAGGGTTAAGTTGCAATGAGCTTATCCATTGCCATTAGAGGCTAACTGCAACTAGTTGTTGTAGATAATTTGTAATTGAAAGCCGAGATCTTCATCTTTGAGTTCTTCATCTTTGTTAACCATAGTATCATGAAGAAGTCAATTTCGCCCCTGAAAGATTGCTTCTCACTTCATTTGCCATGCCAATGAAATGTCTATCTTCACATCCTAACATATGGAGAATAATAAAATACAATCAGTAGAAAAATAGAGTTACAAGATCTACATGTCTCTTGACATAGAGAAAAAAATCAAATCAGCAAAGAATAGACACGTCTGTTGTAGCTTTAAGTAAAAGCAAATACCTATATAAGTAAGCTCCTTTTGAAGTTGGAAAAGGTAATCTCTGTTCGGTGCACAGGGGCCTTCCGCACGAGCAATTTGACTGTACAAATACAAGAAGATATCAGGATGCATTGGTTTTGCAATCCAAACCAATGTGTCACTCTTAGGAAATATCCAAGAGCACACTACCACCTCAAAGGCTATAGAAGCAACAAACATGAACGCTATACAACATTAGTTGTATAAGCAAAACCCTCCTTGGACCTTGACCCTTTAAAATTCAGTCATCTGGACAAATTTTAGGATCTGAAGGCTGGAAATAATAGTTTTAAAATCCATGGACAAACAGGAGCATTTTTACTAGAAAGAACTGAAAGGGCAAAGCAATGAGGGTATGGAGAGGTAGAGAATCGGACCAGGTTTTAATATGCAGATCAAAGACCTTAGATCACTGTGCTATATCCCAATCCGTTCAAATAGAAGATCCTCCTATTTTTAGATTTAGAAAGCGACCAGAAGTAAGTAAGTTTGACAGCAAAAATGTCTTTTCAACCCATAAATGTTTCAAGAACTGGCAACTATGTTTCTCGGTCTCGAGTATGGGTGTCAAATTCGGGTATGTGTCATAGTGTCTAATTTGTCAACCACCTAAAATTAGGATATGGGGACACTTCTAAAGACTCAGACGCAGGCACATGGGTGCGGCAAAATTTCTAGTAAATATAAGAATTATACTCTGCAGCCAACATACAAGTCATAGCTCACTAAGGATTGGAGAATTCTAAAGTAACCAACAAGTCATAGCTCAAAAGGATTCTAGTGTAATAAGGACTCCAATGCAACAAGTCTTCTATAACTATGAGTTTTCTCACTCAGGTCTTCTCCTCTTGCTTCAACATCAGACCTCACAAAAGTCAAAAGTGTCCAAAAATTTTCAAAGTGTCGGACGCATATCCCATACCAGCACCAGTGTCGTGTCGACACGGTACTTTGGGGACAAATGAAGAGTTTAGGTAACATAGACTGGCAATGTCTAATTATAACATATTCGCACTGATAATGCAATTTTCAGAGCTTAATGCTCCAAGCAGACAACCCAAAACATGACAAAGCAGACAACCCAAAACACAACAAAAGACAAATAGACTTACTTTGCAATATCCTGAAGGGATGCAGGATCAACGTAATTATCGTTGAGCTTCTTGTCTGCTGATTCAATGTATATACATTTAGACTTGATCCACTTCAGCAACAAAACATGTAGAAATTCACTAAATTCTAACAGGGTTCCTGCAACTATGACTCTTGCAACATGCTTGCAGAATGTAGATAGAAGTGTGCTTCTCTGCCTTTCAAAAGAAAAAGATCCATCCCTAACCACAGACCTAAAGAGTGGTCAACTTGTGGACCAAAAAAAGCCATTTCTCTTCATACTTGCTATGACTTGACCACTTTCTAGACTAGGACTTTTATCCAGCATTGATGGACTACAAACTGCACTTCTAGGTTAAAAAATTATCCATCCTTCAAATTCGCCAATGTGGCAACATGTTCAGATCTGAATTTCCTCGACGTCATCTTTTGGAGTGAAACTAAAATCTTACAATCATGATCTCCTTGCACGATTCTGATCCTCATCATGGTGGAGAATGCAATTAAAGCTTGCCCAGCAATCAAACATGCATACAAGATCAAGTAGCGCCATCCACTAGGCTCCACCCGGGTGTTTTCTTCATACGTCCTTCCTTCATAAACTTCCTCAGCTTTACCACATCTTCCCATCTGCCAGCCTCTGCATACATGTTAGACAAGACAACATAAACCCCATGGTTATTGTGGATCCAAAGCAAGAATTTCCTTTCCTACCCTTTCAGCAACATCAGTATTCTTGAAGTTCTTGCAAGCTGTCAACAGGGCTCCCCAAATCACTACATCGGCTTTCCATTTCATTCCTTTTATTAGCTCCTCAGCCTCCAGTAACTTCCCACTTCGGCCAAGAAGGTCAACCATGCAACTATAGTGCTCTATCTTAGGCTGAATCCCATACACCCTGCTCATAGAAAATTGAAATTTTCCCACCAAAATCAAACATCCAGCATGGCAGCATGCTGACAAGACTCCAATAAATGTAATATCACTCGGTCTCACCTTCTCTTGCTCCAGCTTCTTAAAGAAATCCAGGGCTTCTTTAGCATGGCCATGAACAGCCAATCCACATATCATTGAATTCCAAGTTGCTATGTTCCTTTCTTGCATACTAGCAAAACACTGGCGTGCCTGCACAAACGCTCCATTCCTAGCATACATATTAACTAGTGCCGTCCCAAGAATGACTCCGAATTCAATCCTTTTTCCTGCATATAAGAATGAATCTGTCCTCCCAATTCCAAACCACCAGACTGAGCACAAGCCGACAATACTGAAGCCAAAGTAACTCCATTGGGCTCAAAGCCATGGGTGATCATTGCATGAAACAATTGAATTGCCTCGCTGCCACAATCAGATTGTGCATACCCGCTTATCATCGTAGTCCAAATGCTCAGATTTCTTACAGACGCTTGGTCGAACAATTTTCGGGCATGGCTCAAACAGCCGGAAACAGAGTAAGCCCTGATCAAGCCATTAGCCACGTGCAAATCCGAGTCTAGCCCAAACTTCAAAACGTTGACGTGGATTTGAGTAGACGCACACAAAGATTTTAAGTTAGAACAGGCCTTGAGAACAAAAGGAAGGTGTGTTTACCGGGAGCAATGCAGAGCCTTCGCATTTGAACAAAGAGAGACAAAGATCTCTGAGGCGTTGGGCTGCTAGCTAGCGCTCTGATCAGAGTATTCCACATGAAAGAATTCGGTTGTTGGATGCTAGAGAATATTTTGAAAGCATGATTAAGGTCTCCATCATCCGAGAGGGAGCAGAAGGCGAGCAAGCGGCTGGCCGCGTAGTTGTCATCGCGGATGCGACCGGTGATGATCATTTGGGCGTGGATTTGCTTGAGCTGGTGCATGCAAAGGCATTGATCTGCCAGATTGGATAAGCTCGTAGGCTTCGATGGTGGTGGTGGTGGCGGTGGCGACCGCGACCACGACCGCGACGGCGACGGAAGCGAAAGGGGACACGAGGTAATGGTAGAAGGTGGGGAGTGAGAGAGAATTGGCGGGTGCATTTGAAAATCATGAGCCACGCGGCTGGCTTCCTAAGGCTAACTCGTTTCGCCAGTGTTTGTGAATGCTCCACTAAATACTCCGCCAGAGCAGTAGAGGATTCAACTGGAGTCGAACTTTTAAGCTGTCATACTCGACTCTGACCTTAGGACTCGAGCTCGAATCACAAGATTAAATTTTAAGCTTAAGCTCGATTGGATTTAATTTTTAATAAGTTTGAGTTCAATGAAGTTCGATATTTATTGAAAATTTTAAAATTTAATATTTTTATCTATAACACATTTATATAAAAATCTATGATAAAATATAATTGTATGATATTATATACAATAGTAATAAAAAGTTTTTAAATAAAAATATAAAAATTTATACGTGTACAAATTCGAATTCGATTTCGAGACCTTAAATAAGATTTAATTTTTGTTTGAATTCGAGCTCGAACTCATCAATATTCGAAACTCGAGTCAAACACTTAATGAATTTACTCTGAACTATTCATTAAGGGCTTGATTGATTTATAGCGCTATCCTCCACTAACTAATGCCCAATTAGTAATATTCCTACAAGAAACAAACAAGTGCAACTTACTCTCAACTATTGCTAAATGTTATTCTCAACTTAATTCCATGGCTATGAAAGAGGCTATTCAATACTAAATTGAGTTCGACTCAATAATAATTCATTTAAACTTAGTTCGCCAACTAATCAAACTAAATATGAATGAAAGTTTATCTTAATAAACTTTCAAACTTGATTTAGCTCTGCCACAATCAAATTTTACATTTATAACATCATAAATATCCTACACACGATTTTTCTGCAAGTATATAGGTCGTGAACAAGTATAGGGTATTTAGGATCGATCCCACAAAGAAGATTTTCAATTACCTGTGATTTTCGAACTCCTTTATTATTTAGACTATAAACATGAAGTAAAAGTAATAAAATTAACACTAAAAAGTTCCTAGAGGTATGGAATTCCTTATTACTCTCGCTAGTGAGATTACCGGGTAAGTGAATGCTTTTATCTTGGCTAGTTGTGGCGTCATTTCCTAATGTATGTGAAACCTACTCTCATAGTGAATCAACTATACTTATAACTAAACCATACCTACTCTTGTGGTTATGAATTAACTACAAGTTCATTTCTTATATGAAATTACATGAAACAAGTCACTAAAGCCACATAGGTGTACCTCTACTCTCGTAAGTGTACTCCTTAAGTTTATCACTTTCTTGAACTAGTGTTAAATTTCAATTCTCATTGCAAACTTAACACCTTAAGATAATCACAACTAATGGCCAGTAAATCATGATTAGAAAAGCAAAAGTGATAAATAACTTGCTAAAAATAATATCATCAAATAATCAATTAAACATTACTAACAAGATATAGCAAGTTCATCCATAACTCTAGGCATAAACTTTAACTAAACATGATAACAAACACCAAACTTGTATTATAGTTAAACATGAAATCAAATACAAAAGAAAAAGTTATAGGAGAGATGTCACCTTTGTCACTTGAGCTTAAAACTCTCCATCTTTGCTCCTCAATCTTCATCCAAATCTAACTACAAATACAAGATGGATAAACTACACTACCTATACTATACTACTCCAACTAATGAACTAAGGAAATTCTAGTGAAGACTATATTTTTGTGGAGTTTCTCTAGCCTTCCAAAGTTTTTAAATGTTCTCCAAAGGCCTCTATTTATAGAGGATTCAAGAGCCAAATAAGTGGTTTCTAGTTGTCATTTTTGACTCTTGAAACTCTCATGAGTTGTCTTTCCAACTTTTCACACTTTTCTTTATTGGATACAGCCGACATTGATAGCTAGAATTGAGGTGGAAAAGTTGTGTGAAAGCAGGGCAAATTGATGAGCAAGTTGCAGAAAAAGAAGAGAATACGCGACCTCAAGAATACGCGACTTTAGGTCGCGTATTAATAGCTCGTGTTTTCGTTTCTGTGCATTTAGCACCACTTCAACTGCTATTTTCTCAATGATGGAGGCCGAAGTAACTCTTGTATAAAACATGAAAGTTGTACTACTTTGAGTTATATAGACTGAGAAATGACCAAAATACCCTCAATTGGTCAGAGCTCTATTTCAGCTTTCGACAACAGAGTTGCACTTCTGTATTTTGACATTTTGACAAGGACAACGAAAACTGGATTTCGATATTTTCATACCAAATGTAGATATATCTCTTAGCTTCAAAATGGTACAAGAATCACCTCAATCCAATCCTTGTAGCTCAAGATATAGCTAAAATACCACAAGGTGTCAAAGCTGAAAAACTTGCATTTCTTTTGTTCTTGATTTCATTTCCTCTTTTGCATTTCATATTCTCTTTTTATCACTTCAAACCATCATCAATCATCCAATTGTTTTCTCAATTCATGCCATTTGATGATGGAATCCTTAAACCTATATAAAACATGAAATTTTCACCATTAAAATCCATAATAATGCAATTTTTATATTTAAACCACAAAATGCATATTTTCACTAGAATCCTAACTAATTAGTTATAAAACTAAATAAAATACACCAAAACTAACTAATAAAACATACTTAAAACACGTAAAATATACTCTTATCAAATTCCCCCACACTTGAACCATTATTGTCCTCAAGCAATAAGAAATACAAACCAAAAATAATCCAACATTTTGAAAATAAACATACGTGCACTATTCAATTTCATTTACTCAAAACAAGGTAAATGACCATTATGCAATCATTCAACTAAGATCAAGTACTCATAATATCAAGTAAAGGAGAGTCAATTATACCATAATTTTAACTAGTTCAATTCAATTTCTCATCCTTACCCAATTTTACCAGTAAGTAACTCATATGGTCAATAAAAATGCTAACTAAGCCATGATCATCTTCTTATTCATATTTAAAGAGGGATTTATTCATATATCATAGTTAACTATATTTTTCAAGTTGTGAAAGTGTCTTTTGACACGATAATCGACATGTTTAGATGAAAATTACTGGTTACTCAACACTTCACATACTCAAATTGCCTTGCCTACTCTTAATTCAAGTACAGTTTTACTCGAAAGTCGATATTTGTAGATGAAGACTCTCGGTTACTAAGTACAAGAACCATTGGAGTAGAACAACTCTTATTTTCTTATTTTCTCTTTTTTTTTCTTTTTTTTTTCAAGGTAAAGATAATAAACATTCTCTCAAAAGAATAATCATGAGAAAAGTATTACACTTATTGACCATATTTATCACTTAACTTATAAAATCAAGTAAAGAGAAGAAATTTCATCAAAATTTCAAAATGGAGGCATAATTTTCTCTATTTTACATGATATACTTTCCTATAAATACATAAATTATAATCACTTAATAGTCATTTCAAATTAAATGAGAAAAGAAGTTTTCAA